TGCTTTCTGCAGCCCATGCCATCGCCGGCTTTGTGAGATCGCTTGCCGCTGCATTGTATGTGTCGTCAGTCGTGCGCTTTCCCTGCTGTGACGGTGGCACCTTTGGCTCCTCTGTGTCCTCGCTCAGCTCGTCATGTTCCCGGACCCCAGCGGCCCCAGTTTTGCATTCCTCCACCAGCGGCTCATCGCTGGTCCTCTCCGAACACACCCCGTCCATATGCACACCGCTGTCTTGGGACTCTTCGGCTGCACCTTAGAACGAGAAACCTACATGACATGAGGTACTGAGGAGGGCTGGAGAGTACGACCTCCCTGCCTGGGAAAACGAACGGCTTTCTGAATTCTACTGCCCGTGGATCTTCGAACCCATAGCTTTCCCTCACCATGCGAACAGGGCCACTTGGGTCTGGCATCGCCCGTTCTCTCCATGCAGAAGCCGAGAACCGAGGAGCAGGCTCCTGGCAGTCGTCCACGGAACCAGCGAGAATTTGATGCAGGCTCCCCTGTCCTGCACCTCATCCTCAGGAAAATTCCCCTCGACGATTTCCTGCGCGAAAAAACTCTTGTTTTTATCGAAACCATTTCCGCGACCACCTTGAACGGAGTGAGCACAGAAGACCCTTGGTAAACTGACCCTGAAGCTATCAGCGATCTGCACCGGCTCTCTCCACGCTAGGAGGCAACGTGCGGTGATGCTGCAGATGCGGAAAATGCAGATGACTAAACAGCTACTGTTTTTCTTCTTGACCAGAACCCACTTCAGTCATACTGGTCCGCAAGCTGAACGAGCAATGCACATTCTCCGTTTTTCGCTCAAGTCACGAAATCGGCCGCCGTGTCTGTTAACGAAACTGAATGTACATGCGTCACCATTGATTACGCACTCGTGCACTGCTTCAAAAGCAAATGAGAACAAACAGTATCTCGCCATCACTGGAATCTTCAAGAAGCCGAGCTTAAGCTGACAGCTTCGAGTCCTGCAGGCAAGCGCCATGAAGCGAGCGAACATCCGCAGTTTGAGAGTCCTTGGAAGCCTCCGGCGGCTCACCTTCTCCTCGGTGCAAAGTGGTGCGAAGTAACAGCGCTCCACAAAGGAGCCGCTCGGTGCGAGGTCAATGGCAGCCAAGCCGCTCTCCTTGGGCACCAGAGGAGCCTTTTCGGCCTTTTTCTCAGGGCTCTCTGAGACGAGGCCGTCGTAACCTCCAGCAGATCTCAGCAGGGTGCGGGGGCGGGCGGGGGCAGGGCGGGGGCAGGGCGGGGGCAGGGCAGGCAGGGTATCTCCAGGGCAGCCAGGCAGCTCTTGTAGAAGAGTGCTGCAAAGACGAAGCCCAGGGCCAGCACTTGGAGGCCGGTGATGTAGTGGCCGTACTTGATGTAGGAGGTGATGATGGACACCCTGGGTTTAGGGAGGGCTATGCCCTCCGCCAATAAATCACAGTCAAAGTCGTGTGCGACACAGGCACAGCTGTCGAACATTCATCGTAGCGGCAAAAACCAGCGCACCAAAGTCCTTGATCTGCCTCAGCGAATCACTCCGTGCACGCTCCTAGACGTTACTTGGATGAATCGCACGTTTCCCCAGATGCAATGCAGACACGATGTGATGAACCACTGGCTTGCAACCTGCCCAGGCACGGTGACAAGCCTGTGCTGTTACACTTGTCCTAACAATTCACAAATTTCCGTTCGCAACCCAGAATGTTTGAGCGGGTGCGGGCCTGCGAGACGCTGAGGGTCATAGCATCTCCAAGCAGCGGCGGATGAGCGCGGACGAAGCTCAGAGCATCGCCCAATCCACCAGTGGCTTGGTCAACAAGCAGCATGAAACCAGAGCTCTCACAGGCTTCAGGCAGCAGTGCACAAGTCATGTGCCGAGACGTCGACTCAGAAGCGTGGTCATGGAAACAATCGCAGAGAAGGTGTTGACCCACAGTAGCTGGTTGTACCTTAGCAAGCATGATCGATATTCTGACAGATGGTCACCGTCCCTCACATGGTCGGTGCATTGGGGGCCGGGCTTTGACAACTGGTATTCCTTGAAAAGCTTTTCTTGCATCGGCGAGGTGATTCCATCCAGTGCGAGGAAAAGAACCAGCAGAAGCAGCCCTGGCAAGTCTCATTGCTTGACCTGCCTGACACATTCCTCTGCCCTGGAGAAAACAAGGCACCTGAAGACACTAAAACGCATTTTGCACCCTACAAGACTGGGCCAGTGCAGGACTCTGGACATGAATAGAAAAATGTCAAACACAAAGTGCACAAACTGTGATTCGCCTTTGACGCTGTTGCTGGTGTGGTCGTCGTTCTCGCCAGATTCTGTCGCAATTGGTCCGGTGAGCAAAAACTGCGTCACTCCCCAGGTCACGAAGAAGGCGACACCCCACTCCTGCTTGCAGGACCCGTGTTACAGCACGGCCCTGCTCATCTCAACTGGACTTGCAAACTTAACCGCGGCCTTGGCTGTGTAGCTCTTGGACCTAGGAATGCAGATCGCAGCCCTTCTGCTTTTGCCAGCTCTTCTCTGCTTAAGTCTGGTCGCGAGATGACAATGCCCCAGAGCATCACCGGCATCATCTTGAAGCTCTTACCCAGCATCTGAACCGGGAAAGATACCTCAAAAACGCCGGTGCAAGCACGAGGCCAGAGACTGCAGGATCGTCCACAGCTGCCGGGGTGCATACTTCAAAGCTTCGTACTGGCATGTTGAAGCAAAGACGTTGGATAAGGACCTCTGGTCGGCAGTCGAACTAGGACCCGATCGCTTGACGACCGAACAAGCCAAGGTGCACAATCAGGTAGTAAACCAGTGGGGCCTTTAACGTCCACTCTTCTTGACGAATTTTGGCCATCGCAAAGGCGAACCTTCAAGAATCTCAGGGCATCTATAAGAAGACTGTTGGATGGTGTTGCAGCAACAGCAGCGGCCAAGCAGCCAGATGGCACAGAACCGGTTGCAGAAGACGAGAAACCTCAGGTGGCTGACAAGTAACCTAACATGCGAAACCAGGGGACTAAGGAGTAAGGGTTGCAAGCGGACGCCGCAGTAAGGGAAACCGAAGGAGATCTGTGACGGAAACCAGGAAGCCGGGAACCAGAAGCTGCAGACCGTGAACCCAACAACCCAAAGGCCTTAACCCTTCAAACTCTATTTCTGAAGATAGCAGCACTGACGATAAAGAAGCGATGCAATGTCTCTGCAGCAAGTAGGACAATGAAGCTCCGGTAGCTGGTGTTGCGGTGGCTCCCCAACTTACGGAGCCTGGTTTCTCGTACGTCGTGTGCCGGGCTCCAGTTGGCCTCTGCACTGGCTTGCACGGTGGGTTCGCCGTTACTCTCCACAAGTTTTTGTTACGTCGTTGACTCGGGGACTTGGGTATGGGATGCTGTGCGCCCATGGAGCCCTCGGCCGAATCAGCAACTACGGAACCCGGAAGATCTGCCTCCTTAGCTTGCCTTCCTTCTCTCTTCTGCAAACCCTACGATTCTTTTTGTAGACAAAGCAGCACGGATGTCTTGAACATGTCGTCGCCATATGGCACGGACATGATACGCTCCTGCTGCAAACCATAGACCCACAACGAACCGATGATTCCCACCACATAGACCTCAGACTGTCAGAGTGTTGGCTTGCAGGTGAGCCACGCATCAGCAGCACTCTGACCCTTAAACTGATTTTGACGAATAGCGGAGCCCCAAAGGATTTTATGCCATGCATTGTCGTCGAGTTGGATGGACATGCCGATGGGTGTCGGCTTTCATGAAACCTCGGAGGATATGATTGGAATCCGGAAGCCGTTGGAAAGGTCCGAATGCTGACAATGGCAGATTCCGCAATCATGTCCGAGCACTCAGAACAAGGCAGGTTCAGTAAGCACGGGATCCTTTGATCCCTTCTGAGACGAAACGCAGCGGTCGGCAAGAAGGCTAACAGACCATGCCACGTGCCGAACGCCGGCGCAGCAAGACTGGATTGCAGATGTGCAAACCCTTGCCGACGTCGTGTAGTTGGACACAGAATGTGCTTGCGGTTGTTCGTGGGTGGCAATATGCCTAGCACCCAAAGACACTCCGGACAGGTGCATCGCCAGGGTGTTGAGTGCTTGGGCTTGCATGTTCAGGCTCGGGGCTTAAGAGTTGTTTCTCAGTGCGGTGTTTCTCGAATTCGTGGATGTCTTCGCTTCCAGTAGCCTCGACTTTCGTTGTTGTATTAAATGTGCTCGTTTCCGTCAACAGTTGACATGCTGGCCCATCAGGTTCTCATATCTGAGATCTTGAGCGGCTCCTCCTCCCTAACCTTCAATTCCGAAAGCTTCTCGGATCGCTCGTTCTCAGTGTCGTCCATCAGAGGCGTGACCTTTCAGTTGTGCATCATATCACGCTGAACTGACGGCTACAAGACACGATGAGGTCTGAACATTCGCCAGCAACCGTGCCAAACGAGATGCCCTCGTCGCGGCCAAGGACATCCCAGTCCCTGATCGTAACCCGAACATCAACATAGCCGAGCAAGTCCGAATTTAGAGTCCAAGTGGAGCCGCAAATTTGCCCCAGGCCTCTGCCTCCTCTCCCTCCGCGGCCGAGGCTTCGCAAGCCAGTGCGACAGCTTCGGGCCTGAACAGACACCAAGTGCGTTGCGAGCACCCTGGGCATTCTGAGGTGGGGCCCCGGCCAGTAGCATTCGAAACAGCTTTGCATCAAAGCAGTCCTTTGGCTCGAAGTTCCAAAGCCTCGGAGCTCACGGTGCTCCGAGAAAAGCACTCCATCAACCGAGCAGGAGCCAAGCAGCCCACTCGTCCAGTTCCAAGAGTCGGCCGAGGCAGATCAATCCGCGCAGTGTGTCCTGTGACACCGAGGCATACTGGAGGCTTCGGGAGCAACCCTTTCCGGACGGCCAAGCGATGCGGCCGTCTCCTGGAACGCCCCCATCACTTCAGCAGGCTCATCAGACACACTGATCTTTGTGGCCTACAGCTGACAGGAGGATGACCGTGGAATAGCAGAAGCCCGGTTGGTTTCTCATGGCCTCATCGTCGTCCAGCATATCCAGCAAAGAGTTCATGAAGGCAGTTGCATGCCGCCTCCCAACAACAACGATGACGACGAAGCAGCAACAACAGCAACAGCGGCGGCAGCAACAACAACCAGCAATTTGAAATTGGACGCGGTGCGAGCGGACTCAGCACATAGCGGGTAGGTACCGCTCTGGCACTCTCTAGATGGTGAAACCTCGGTATGTCCAAAACAGCTTGACCTACGGCGAACTGCTGGTTACGGTCTCTCAGAAAGTTGACTGTACCTTTCGCAAGGCAGCATTGTGGCTGTTTGCAGGCTGCGTGTTAACTGGCCGCTGCTGTTGACTGTGGCTCGGTGACGTTCTTGCGTTGAGCGAGCCGAGCTCAGTTAGTGCATGCACAACTCCGAAGGAGAAAAGTGTGTGGCCTGGGGGAGGGGTGGCATGCCCAGACCAAACCGGGCCTTGGCCAGTCCAGTGTCTGGGCAAGGGGGAGGGGGAGTGTCCCACTGGCGTAGGAGGGGCCGGGGCTGTAGAGGTAGGATTGTGCACACCTCCTCGTGTGCAAGCACGCCAATATCGTTGCGGAACTCGAGCAAATGGCCGTTCTTGCGACAGTGACGGCATGTGAGCCAGCCAGGCTTGCCCGGATGGAGTCGCAGGCCACGGGGTATGCAGCGCATGACGTTCTTCGAGGAGATGCCGGCGTAGTTTCTCTCCTGCTTGACCGCGTCCATGATGTCGTCAAAGGTGTTGTTGGTGATGCTGGCCTGGACGTCGTCGCAGATGAGTTCACCACCGGGCAGAGCCCCCTCCTGGTCCTCAGGGCTGGTGCCGAGCATCCAGGGCCTCTGACACTGCCTGAGGCAGTCCCTGCAGCATTGCGGTGGCTCGTCTTTCACTCGCCCGGATGTCGCCTTTGAAGCCCTTCTGCCAATTCCAGCATCTGGTGTAGGCCACGGTGACCTTCTTCTGGGTGACAAAGTCATGGCCGTCGTTGGCGAGGTCATTCTTGGACTGGAAAACACCGCTGAATTGCTCCTGCAGGAGGTACACGGGGCCGTAGGTGGGGGAGATGTTCCATCCCACCGCTGGTTCTTGCCCCATATCGTCCTTAAGGAAGCGACAGAGGGTTTTGCAGAAGATCATGCACTCGAGATTCGCAACCTTGCTCATGACCTCTTTGGAAAAGGCACGCGCTATGGCACGCATGAAGAGGGGATGTCGAGGCTGGCCGTAAATGACACCTTGGAAGATATGATCCTTCTTGATGCCGATGGCCATGAGCAAGAACTCCGACGGCAGCTTGCTGAGCTGGGTTGGACCGAGTCCCCTCTGCTCGCACAGTGCTTGTTGGGCCGGGCCCCAGTCCTCCGCCAGGATCCGTAGGAGAGAGTCAAAGGTGACCCGGAAGGCAAACTTGATGTCAAAGTATAGGCCTTCATGGTTGTAGTGGTAAATGTACCTGAAAATATCGGCGCGATGGGCAGGGTGCTTGAGATTCGAGCACAGGTGACAACAACCACCAACGGCAACAACAACAACAACGACGACGACGACGACGACCACGACGACGACATTCATTCATGCGGACGCTCGTGCGGGTCCCGCACCTCGGCGGGCACGGGCTAGTTCTTGAATGGCCAACTATGGGGCAACTTTCGCACACCAGAAACCAAACGGACCAAGCTAGGCCCAAGAACACAGCAAGCGAATCTAGAAACGGCGCTATAGCTGGCCAGTCTTGCCTCGCAGCAGTCTGCCAAACGCTTAGCAAGGCTTGCTTCACACGGCGGCGTCCGTAAACTCAGCCTGTGGGGAGCGCAAAACTGCACCCTGTGTGCCGGTCCGAAGACTCTGCACACGCATTTGTTCGCAAAACATAGCTTTAAGCGTATCACTCACAGAACGTGTGGGCTTTGCTCGGTTGCGGTGGCTTTTCGTGAGCAATTACAAACTATAAACAAAACTTGAGAGCCACGGGCTGGGACGAAACCTCTAACATGGGCAGGGCTGGCGACACGGAGCTCACA